TTTCAAAATCAAATATTTTTCTCCTCCGCGGTATAATTTTTGGGTGGGACAAATGCGCCTGTCTCCAATATTGGAGGGGACACGTCCCCCCCGTCCCCCCCAGTTCCTACGCCCTTGACTAATGCAATCCATTGCAACTGGTTTTTACAGCTACAGTACCTTTCAATACTACAGAGGGTCTGTTTCACATTTAAAAACACAGATTTCTGTAAGATTTAACTTACTGTGAGTCTTTGCGGACAGCCTTAGCGATAGAGATGTGTTTTGCTCTGAACCCTCCGCAGAAGTTCTCTGAGGTGGGTTCAGCAGAGACACCCTCCTTTGCTTTGAGCCTGCGGTGGACCTCCACAGCAACCCTGTGGAAGCGGCTGGGACCCTGGTTGATGACACTGAAGCGGTGGTGGCTATGGTGGCACAAGGTGGGCGGAGAGCAGCCCAGGCTGTTGTTGTAGCCAATGGCATCCTGGAGCTTGTCGATCTGGGAGATCTTGGCCTCCAGTTCCCTCTGGAGGTGCTGTAACTGAAGCTCCTGGGCTCGAAACTCTTGGTCCCGACATGCCAGCTCCCTCTCTAGGTGGGTGATTCGCAATCTGAAGATCAGAATTGGTTTAATCACTGAATAGACATAAAGGTAGACTCACAAAACATACATAAACAACTATTTAAACGGGTTATTTATATAATAATACAAAGGCTGGATTTCTATGGAAGCCGCACGATAATTTTATTTTTGTAATTATCTTTTTATTAGGAAATTTCACATCAATTGACAAGTACAAATGGATTTACAGTTGTTAACATCAAAATCGTACAGAACCAAAGGTTTTGTATCAATAGTTTCTTGTTCCAAATGTCCATTGTCCATTCCCTTTTAATAATATGTATATGTAAAGAAAAAAAACACATACAATTTAACTTTTTACATCCAGAGTGGTATAGAAGCAAAAAGTAAATACATCATTAATAAATAAATAGACATGTCTGTAGCAGTTTGGCATCATTCAGTTGCGTTCACATCACTGAGATACATTGGGAACCCCCCCCCCCAAAAAAAAAGAGATCAAATAAAAAGTGTACGTTCCTTCAGGTTACATCTAACTTTAGGTTGAGAGAAAAAGTAACCTTTTCCAAGCAGATACTTCGGAACATGACATGGCCTTATGTCCATGTTGCACTGTATCTGCTTAGCTTAGCCTACACTGGCTGGTCCCACTGGACTGATAGGCAGTTTCATATGAATGTTTTAGCGTGTCAACATCGACAAAGACTCAACATCGTTTTTGTTGACCAAGACATGACCTAATAGCTTTTTTGAAACCCAAACAATGATCTTTCCCTAATTCAACCAAGTCAATTTTGAGCCTAACCTAACCAAACCTGAACCAGCAGTGGTAGATCAGACAATGCTAATAAGTCTTTGATGTAATGATGAAAACACTTTTGGAAGGCACTAATAAACAACTTGTCACTATGTTATAGATGAAACGTGTGTTTGCAAATGCATGTCGCTGTATTTAGCCTTAAATGTAGTCAGAAACTCAACTTGATGCCATTTTCAGAGCATCAAAGATCAATTACAGCCCATTAATCCAATAAGGTGGGGAGGATTTGTGAGTAAAAGAGATCTGTTAATCACATCAGCCTACTTTATTACTTACCTTATTGAACCTTTCCACACCACAATGAGACGAGTTGCAATTATCTGATGCCACATTTTAGGAACAAAGGTTAAGAACCCAATAAACAAAATGGCAAGCTAAATCTCATCATTGTGAAACTAGAATTAAGTATTTTGGGTAACCTTGTAAGGCATCTGAATTCGCAAGAACACGAAATTATGCAAGAATTCATCTTTCCAGACTTCCAACTATGTGCTTTTGACCAACCATAGTGGTTCAGACCAATCAGAATCCTGCAAGGAACTACTGGCAGCTACAGCATGAGCTTCCGGTTTGTGTGTGATGACGTGTGTGAGAAGTGCCTGGATAATAACAACAATGGTGGCTGATAAAGAGGTTAGCCGTAGATGCTGCTAGCATCAGTTCTATCAGAACTGGAGAGTATTTCTTTATTACAAGAAGAGCAAAGAACGACACTGAAGGATTTTCTTAATGGAAAAGGTGTTTTCTCTGTTCTCCTGACTGGCTTTGGTAAGAGTTTGACTACGTTATACAGTTCATTGATCTGAGTGGTTCCTCGTGATAAACGGTGATAGATGATGGTTAGATGGTTCATCCAATCACTTGCCCATTTTTTTGGAAAGAGCCTGTCCTTTTCCATACAGTTTCCAACACTGACTGCCCCTACTATTTGATAATTAGATATTAATTATTTAAATAAATGACTTTTATTCTTACTAATCATATGCAAGAATACATTGGATATACAAAGCATTTTCCTTCAATTTAATTCAATTCAAACAACTTTATATTGATTATATGTTAAATAAACATTTAATAAAATATTTTATTAAATATTTATGCAGCAGATAATACACATACAGTTGTAATCACAAATATTCAACCCCCTCACCTCAAAATATATTATAGTGATATGGATGAAAGATAATGACAATAAATGAGAAAAAACACGAGTTATTTTAAACAGAAGTTGATTTAACTTTGAAGTTCAAATAAAATATTTAACTCTTTTAACACTCTTGGAATATTAATTTTTTTGGAAATCTACATATACTAAAGCCATTCAGGTGTGATGAAATAATCTCCTCTCTCAGCTCCGTTGTCTTTCCCATGATTGCAACTCACCTTCAATACCTTGTATGCATCACAGCTGAAGAGTTCCCAAAGGCTTAATTATGTTTAAACTCCACTTTAGGCCATAAAACAGCCAAATTATATAGGGGTTAAATAAATGTGACATGGCTATCTTAACAAAATATACTCTTACACACAAAATACCTACATCATGCATCTTTGTGTGGTTAATTTTATGCTCATTAACTCATAAAGAAGTCACATCCCGAAGCAGACCTTCCAGTCCCCCCCGCTTGCTGCTTTGAAAAATTTTTGATCCAATCTTCAAAAAGTTTGGGGGGTTGAATATTTCGGATTGCAGCTGTATTTAATATAACACGTAGGATAAAATAAAACAGTAGTCAAAATGCTTAAAAGTATAAAATTATGCAGTGCATTTTAGCAGTGTGCATAGCAACAAGCTCCTTATAATTTCTAAGTAAATAAATAAGCTGTACAACACATCTACAGGTAATTCTGAACAATCTAACAGTAGGTTTGCTGTAAGGAAGACATATATTCATGAGGTTTGATTCTGACCTGAGGACGTCTGTGTCCAGACCAGGAGGGTCTGTGTGGATGGAGGCCAGGCAGCTGTTCTCTTCAGCCTGTGGGGCTTT